TTATACTCAATAAAATTTCTCGACTATTCATCAATTTTTAATTTTGTTAATAGTATATACTGATTACAGTTAATTATATGTAATGAATATTACATAATATTGACCTGTATCAACTTAGTTTCTTTTTAGGTTTAATTGTATTCGTTCATATAATTTTTAACGATCAAATTCTCAATTTTATAAATACCATTAAATCAAAATTTTACCATTGAATTTATCATGAATTCTATTTTTTGATACATAGATTTTAAAGAAAATATTTAAATTCACTGAATAGAATAAAAACATATGCAATACATTTTTTTAGTTCTTCGGTTAAGTACTTTTTTTTACTTGTTAAACATGTTTAACGTAATATTTTTGAATAAGGTCAGCCGGTGCTATTTTTAATTATTCTCAAAAATTTGTAAAAAATTGAGTGTTTTTTGTGAATTACACTTAAAATTTATCTCGTCACTATTCTAAGGAAAATATAATTAATATCTATCACATCTTGTTCGTTAATTGAACGGGATTTCTTTTTTCATTATTGCATCACGAGATTCTAATATTAAAAAAAGTATTTACCAATTTCTTACTTTGTAGGGAGACAAAGGTGCATTTTCATTGTCCATTTTAGCTGGTGAAAAAATTGTATTTCTTCTTGAAAATAAATATGTCTTCCTTTATAATTATTGTTACTCCATTTTCAAATGAAAAAATATTTTATATATTGGTTGAAATAGACTAATAATCAAATAATCCCAATTTTGGTTGATACGTTTTTTTTAAATTATAAACCCTCAATCAATGTGTATGATCACATGTCGAAAAATTGTATAATTTTAAATAGTAAATAGTAAATTTTATTTTAGTTTTACCAGTTCTACTTTATTTCTGAATTCGACCTTCGTTTTCAATATCTTTAAAGTTTTTTTTTGTATATTAATTTGCACGTTCTATCTTCGTCGTCTTTAGTAGATCTGAAAAATTTGAACACCTGTTGATAATTTTTAAGCTGCGTTTACATTCATTATAAACTTCAAGTAATTCAAATAACTACAGTATTGTTTTTCATATTTTCTAATGTATAATTCTGTGCAATGATAAAAAAAGTCGTGACGAATTGCAGAAACAACAAATCGTGCAAACGACCTAAGTCTTACACATATACACCTGGGAAGTGTCTACCACAACTTCACTAGATACAATATTATTTAAACGGAAACATCGAATTTAATTTATTATTAATTTCTCTCAAGGACGCGGTTTTAAGATTGATTGGCAATTTGACCTTTCTTGCATTAGACTAGTATCAACGCTTGCTTTAGCATAGGGAAGCCAAACCTAAGTGCTTATGCTTATTTTATAAGTAAATTCTGTCGCCGATACTTTTAAGTTTTTACCAAAAAATTACCTGTTCTATAATATTGTATTTAAAAACTCAATTACCTCAATCTATCTTACAGTTTGATGCGATTTTTGGCCATGAGTTTATTTTAGTTTCGACAGAATTAGATATAAATGTGTTGTTATCTCACTACACAGCATAGGTAATATTAATAATAGGTAAAAGTATAGCGCAAGATTCAATTATTCGGCTGCCATTATTAAATTATTATACGTATATGTGTCACTTGTGCATTACGAATTTTAATGATTCCGTACGTTGATCGCATTGCGTCATTTCACACCGTGTCATCTGATACATTATATTCTGCTTTTTGTTGCTTTGCAAACAACTAGTATTGTTCACCGAGATGAGTGTATTATTCTAGATTGGAAATCAATTTTTATCATTCTTATTGCCTGTTTATCAAAGGAAAGAAATGATTCTATTCAAAGACTGTGATAGAATTTTCGTTTAGCTAATAGAATGTGGTTAATTGATTTCTCATTAAGACTTATGATGTTTTTCATTGGAATTTCATTAAATTGTATGAATCCTACTAAAAGCAAAATTAGAAGAATTTCAACTAAACTAAGATACTTGAAAGAGATTTGACTGTTAGACTGGTTCGAAATATAGTATCTAAGAGGTTTAAATGAAAATAAATAATCTAAAATATCACAAAAATATTATGTACGTTACAAAATAAAATGCGTGATTAATAATTATATAAATCGATGTTATTAATTTTGATTAATTATATATAATAATAGTTATTATATTGAGATAAAACAAAGTAATGATGTATTTACCTTCCATTGCATAAAAATTGTTTGTTTTTTTTTCAAGTAGGTCACATTGCCGTTAACTTCCCTGTTTTGGTCAAACTAATGTACAAGTTCATGCTCATTATGACAGTATTGTCTTTTTAATGTAGTTTTCACTATATGGGTTGTATTCCGAACAAATATTTGTTCATTTTGATATGTATAAAAATGTTCAGTTTGTTATGATTTAATCTGTTGAAAGTTAACAATTACTATTGAGTAGTTATTTAAGGGTTGCAGTTAACCGATTCCCGCTCAAAACATATAAGTATATATAAAATATAAGTAGGTTAAGGGGAAAACCTACTATACATTTAATATTAAATTTATGCAATAATATTGATTAGCAATTCACCAAAATCGTTTAATGGAAAGATAGGTTGCACCCATTACTTAATGTTGTCTGGGTAATTGAACCCTCGGGGAATTCACTAGACGTACACAGTATACATATATATTTATATTATTCATACGTACCTACCTTTATAACACGCGAAAGTATCAAGAATTTCTCTATGTTTAAGTAGAAGTATAAACAACAATCTTCCGGGCATCGTGTATTTTATTATGTTTGTTATGATGATGTATTCTAATTCTTCTATACAGATGACCACAAAACAAAATTGTAATCGAACTCATACGAATTTTGTTCCATTACTGCGCGATGTCTATCACAGATGGCAATTTTAATAATCGTAGCCTATGACTCATAAGCGTACTTAGGGAAAAAATAAAGGAATTTAATTTTAATTTTCTTCTCCATTAAAAAATATATTTATGCTAATGTACTATTTTCACCAAATTTAATGGATCCTACCGGTTGCCTTTATTTTCATTGTATGTAAAGTTTTTTGATACATTAAATACGAAAACATCTTGTTTGATATGCAACGTGTACATTTTTCCCAGTACAAATATGACATAAGTAGATTATTTTAATTGTCTATATTTTATGAATTATTCATGCTTAATTAGTACCATAAGTTTAGCTATAGACAGAAAATAATTTTTTTTCAATTGGATTTCTTCACCATCATGTTACTACTGTTTATATATAATACAGTAGAAATCATTACAACGACTAGTATCGGATAAAACAAGATATTGCTTTGAACTAGCAAAACGTTAGGTTCCGGTATTAACCCACGTGATTGTAGGTTAAAATGTTTGTTCATTGCTAGTATGGATGGAACAAGATATTGTCTATAACGAAAAAAACAACATGATGCAGAAAAATGCTATCTATGTGTATTATTATTTTGTAGTAATTCTGTATAGGCTTACGAGCATTTCATATATATATATATATATATATATGATATCAAATATCATGTTGTTAATAGATTAAAACATGCTCACAAATGAACATCTATGACAGGTGTAAACCAATTTTTTTAATTTTCAAATGACGATGTTTTGTTTTGCCGGAATATTCCGTAAAAATATAAGACATCTCTAATAGGTATAAATTTGGCTGGCTAGACTAGGTAATTATATATATTTTTCTTTGATATTTTCCATTTACAATGTTTACTTTTTCTTACTGTATTTTTAACCGAGTATGAGATAAAATTTTATTCTTAAACCGTTTGTTAAGTAGATTTTTGAATATATACAACAATATTTTACTACAAGTCTAATAATAGGATATTAAATGTACGCTTTTCAAATAAAAAATTGTAGCGGTAGTANTATAATTTTTTAAAATGGTCTTGGAAAAATGTACGCTTTTCAAATAAACAATTGTAGCGGTAGTACTATTTTCTATTTATATCCATTAAAAATTAAAAACAATATTTATTGTATAAAACTACTCCAGTCTTATAAATAATACTCATCATTTTACTAAACTATATGTACAACTTTAATAGAACCGCTTTAGAAACAGTCTACCCTGACCACCCTCTAAAAAAATGACTTATTTATTATTGAAAAACAAAAATGTAAAAATTAGGGCATTTGAAAAAAAATTGAATTTTTGTAAATGTTATTGCTAAAGACTTGAAAAACATAAGGGACTGGTCAAACGTGTTCATTAAAAATGAGTAGATTTAATAACAATTATACTTTTGAGAGAAAATCTGGGGGTTAGAAGTTAGTTGTAACGAGTTAAACGGACCGCTCGACTGCATTACAAGTTAATTCATAATTATTGGTTTTAATTGTTTAAGGTGTATGCATACGTGAAGTAGTTAATATGTGTGTTGGCAATTACAATCTCTCCCTCTAATTTATGCAATAGCAATAATGTAATTCGCGATCATGTTGTGGTAGGGATATTTAGTAAACCAAGGCAGAACGGCAGCGACGGTAACGGCTCTGGCTGCTACTCGGCTCTCAGTGCCGATTCTGTGGAGTGTCTGCGCCGACCGCGAAAAAAAATTCAAGCGGTTCCGCACGTGGATAATCCAACAGCCGCGACATTTTGTAGAAAAAAACAATTCACAACAGAAACAATATCTCGCCGTTTAGAAATTTATTTGAAAATAGATTTTATCGCTCGTTTCCGCCGTCGTCGTTGCCTATCTAAGTATGTGTGTATCGCCCGGCGGTGTGCGGGCGTAATATTTACCCAAAACGGTCCGAGTTGTAAACAGAACATTTGACACACAACTGCATTGACATTTGAGTATCGGGGCTAGTGTGCTGCGTACGTAACGCTTGTGGATGACAGTATTTTAATCGTAATTAAGTTATCGTCAGCCGCTTTTTTATCGCGTGCAAAAAGAAAGCCAATACCAATTGAAATAAACATTGCGATTATTGATATCAGATTTATTATTGTATTACCGCTCGATTTCCAGGGCTCGAATTGGTCAAGTCGACCGTTGGCCGCCCGTTCACAAATTCAAAAGATCGCATTGGCAAGTCAACGCCGGTACGATTGTCTCCGGCCGCAGCAGCAGCAGCAACAGCAACTCAAGTGGCCACAATAAAATAATTGCTGTCTACAACAGTAGAACAGTTGCGAAAACGCCAACAATTGTCACAAGGAAGTAAGCTCACGCGGCAAACACGATTTGTTTTTCAAGTTACCTTAACTTAACCAAAAGTCTCGTTATTTGTTTGTTGTTGTAAAATTAATTAACAGAGTTACCAAAATTTTTAACTCCGCGCATTTAGATCGGATTATAAAGTCACATTCAGTATTTAATTTAATAAATAATTATATATTTCATATCTGTGATAGTGTTTAAATCGTTTTTGGTTTTAGTAATTTGTTTTTAAGTATAACTACAATATAATTTTTTTTATATTCTTAAATTTTTTTCCGTAAACATTTATTCACACCGTACAATGCTACAAATTGCGAACGTACTTACCAGTTCCGCTATCCTGAGGATTCTATTCATACTGGTAAGTTCCCTGTCTGGGGGCTGGAGTTCGGATGCTGATCAACACATAGCTTCGTCTCCCACGTGCGACAGGTAAGATGAAAAAACTACCTTTGAGAGTATCATTTAAGTTGTTTCACGAAGTGCACATTTTTAGTTTTACTTTAATTTTTATTGTTTTAGTTCGAACTGATTATCGTTTATTTTTTATATGTTTTCCAATTAAAATCCGTCGTGTAAATCATTAACGGCGTTTCCTTCCAATGAACGACACGTAAAGTAGATAATGTTATTACTTTTCACTCACATTTCGACGTTCCTGTGTAGTTTTTTACGTGGCATTTGATGGACTTGCGAAAGACAAATATGTTACTATATATTTAACCGATCATTAATTACCTACTATACTTTCGTCTGCAAGGGAAATGTTTTTCGAACCGCGACTAATAAAACAGCACAATTGTAATTATCATCATCAACTCAATAGTATCGCATTTGCCAAGAGTGTGTAAAATTTCTCATTAACTACTTCCTCGTTGATGTCGAAGTCTAATAATTGTAAAACTCGAGTTAAAAAAAAAAAAAAAGCTCCATTAATAATTCAGTTAAATAATCGTTTTCTCTTATTTTTTTTGCCTTTGGGGTAAGTGGTTAAATTTTAAATAATTACACACGAATCTACTTATATCATTTTTTTTTTTTTAATTCAAGGTTCATCGAGTTACACAGAGTTTAAATTATTCATTTTTTCTATCAAAAAACTAATCGAACCGTTAAATTATTTTATCAATTACTGAAACATTACTCTGGTTAGTAAGTTTTTGTCTATTGGTCTTAGCGACGTCACCGTCGCCAGTGGCAGAGGTGACTCTGACCAGCGACCGTGGCGCATAACGTCACACTTAACGCATACAACACGGTCGGTTTTACATTAATAGGTAATTAGTTTTACCAACACTGACGTCAACACAAAAATTTCCTCTTCCCTTTCACAAAAAAAGAAAGGAATACCTGAACTCCTTCGGGGATAGACTGTGAACTAGCGTACATGATGCTTGAAAAAATATAAACTTACAAAAACGTCATAACGGAAATAAAAATCTACTTTTGGTTTTGAAATAATTCCTCTGGTGTGTTTATGTAGCTCAAATTGGATAAATTTTTTTGATTTTTTGTTACTCCTTTTTCGGTTTTACGTACAATTATAATATTTATAATGCGACATATCGTACGATTTCTGGGCTTCAAAGGCTATATTTATACACAACGGTGACACAACTGCCATGCTCTTATTATTATACATATGTATCTTTCGTCAACATATATTTTGGCAAGGTTGCAACAATTTGTACCCCAGTCAGCTTAGTCGTTTTGTGGTTCTTGTCAACGAACGATCCGGTACACTAACGGCCCCTAAATCGGTGTACTTGAGCCATTCCGGCGGCGCACTTGGCCCACTTTCGGGATGCTCGTCATAATAATAATTATATATAAAATAAATAAATAAATAATAATAACTGATTAGTAGAATCTTCTTCGTAATTATTTTTTGTAAAGTTAAAAAAATAAAATCATCTTTTCATACCGACAACGATCAAATGTACATCATTCTATAACGGTTTTACAATAAGTTTCATTTTCGCTGAAAGATTAAATTGTAATCTCTATTTATGTAATGTATAAAATTCGTTTTTATTTTCTTAAATTTAATCTTATTAGCCAACTCATTTGAAAGTGAATTTTTTATTTGAGTGTAGGTCAAATAATTTGAAATCAGTTCCGTTGATATTGATTAGCGTCAAGGAAATTAGTTCCAGCGATCATGATTTACACGTTTTTCAATAATTATTTTTATTATTACTGGTACCACCAAAATTGGATTATCTAATAGAGATTTTTAATTCACATACCCTACTCAGATATTTTCTTTTTTATCGACCATTACATCCTACAACTGCATTATCAATGCCTAAATAAGTATTTATATCTAATAATTAAGGCACTATGAATGATTTTAATAATTCATCTAATACATCTATGACGAAATAATTGTTTTTACATTTATTACTTTTTCATTCCATCGATTATAAGTCATTAATATTATTTTCATGTTGATGGCGATGTCTACCATCAGGGTCCGTGTCAATGTCAGTCGGTGACATTATTGACACAATAAAAATATTTTTTATCGTACGAAAACCGAAGCACATTGCGGTGTTCCACCGTGTAAGTATGCATTTTTCTGGTTGATCAGTTTTCTTGAAAAAAAAATAAATAAATATATAGTGTTAACTTTATTTGAATTTCACAAAATCCCTTGATCGATTTTTTACAAGATAGTTTCTTTTGATTGTGTNAAAATAATAAATATATAGTGTTAACTTTATTTGAATTTCACAAAATCCCTTGATCGATTTTTTACAAGATAGTTTCTTTTGATTGTGTATCCGCATAATGTTATATCACCACCATAATAGTAGCGAAATTAGGTTGTGTGTAATACCAAACTCACCGCAAACATACGTCGTATATATTCGATCCGTAAAGTTTTATTGTGTAACATACTTAGAAGTTGCCAATTTGTTTATTTTTTTTTTTTACCATCATCATTATCGTTGTTATTATTATTATCGTATCATTAACGGGTAACGACTCGTGGTTCATAATAATAAACAAAAACAATACACCATATCAGGCGACGTTGTTTAACAGTAAAAGAAATTCACCAACTCGAGGACATAACGGAAACGCATTATAATTATAACACAGTGTGAACATTTGATGAAATTTTCTTGGTCATAAGACTTTAAATGATCCTTCTCGTAGCTGATTTTAGTAGACTTGTTGCACCTTTCATGTCAAGGTTAAAACAATATTTATTCAAAAACGTTTAAAACTATTTAAGTTCATTCTCAGAACAAAAACGAATGCAATTTTATTATACAATTATGTACACTATTAAATTGTCCAATTATATTGTCGTACTTCCAGTTGAACAATGTAAAAAGTTTGTTTTAACCAGCAAAGAATTCTAACTGCGCTAATATTTTTGTCAGTATATCTTTGCCAAATTTATCAGAGCCAGAATTTTTAGTAAAATTTTTTACATATCACTTATCTTTCGGTCTTTTTATTATTCTAGTATTTTAATTTTTGCTCAACTATAAAATCATATTAAAATGTTTAAAAAAATTAAACTTAGTATATAATAAAAAAAATTCTTTCTGGCTTCCTTTTTTCTTGTATAAGTGCAAAAAAATATGTGGCCTTAAAAATGCTGTGATTTGAATAATCTTAATATTAAATTCAAATTTAGACGTTTTAACATGATTCAAGAGCTAATAAACTTTGTGATAAAATAGATTAATTTATAAAACTTTTTTTATAGATTTCTTTATTAATTCAAATAAAACAACAATTGTGGTCTTATTTTTCATTTGCATTGCTTTAACGACCATGTAATTAATAGTTTAAAATTTTTGGTTAAATAATTATACAAATGTAGTCAATATTATCACAAAATACATGTGACTCTCTTGACATTCGTTTTTTCCTGAAGCATCTCTTCCTACATTTCAGCTTGTGGTTATTAGTCTGGCAATGTTTCAATGAATATAGTGGTNTGGTTAAATAATTATACAAATGTAGTCAATATTATCACAAAATACATGTGACTCTCTTGCACATTCGTTTTTTCCTGAAGCATCTCTTCCTACATTTCAGCTTGTGGTTATTAGTCTGGCAATGTTTCAATGAATATAGTGGTTTTATCTAAAATAATAAGAACAAGAAACAAGGTTTGTTTTATGGTTTCGTTATTCTCAAAGTTAAATTTATATTTTAAATATTGGATATTTTTCACCCTCTTTTCTTCTTATTCTCTGTTGTATAGAAAATATTATATTCAACTGAAAACGATAAACGTAGTTAAGTTTAGAAACTCAAATTATTTTAATTTAATAATTTGTTTTTTAATTATTCAATGTAAATTATTTTAAAACATTACTTGTTTTTGCAATATTAACTTTTTGTTGAACATTTGCAACACGAATTCACAAATTTTATTTTATTTATTTTTAAATTTGAGCACAAGTGGATTATGTTTTTAGTTATAAATTAAAAATTGTCTACAGATGACTTTTGTTTTGTTTTAGTGATATATATTGCTATGGACCATTACTGCATGTTGTACAAATACATCACATATTTCCTGACTCAAAGACTTTTGTCGACATGAAGATGAAACAATCGCCCAATGAAACAATGAGTCTATTTTTAGATATGATGAAAAAGACAGGTCAGCGACCTACACGATTAGAAGTTGAGCTTTTTGTGAACGACACATTTGAAGCCGAAGGTAGTGAGTTTGAGCCTTGGGACCCAGCTGACTGGAAGCAACACCCCAAATTTATCAATGAAATAAGAGATACTAATTTTCAAGAGTGGGCAAAACAGTTGAACTTAATGTGGAAATTATTGGGTAGAAAAATCAAAGACGACGTACGTTTACATCCTGATCACTATTCCATTATTTATGTCCCATACCCAGTGATTGTGCCGGGCGGTAGGTTTCGAGAGTTCTACTATTGGGACTCGTATTGGATTGTCCGAGGTCTGCTTCTTTCTGAAATGTACAGCACAGTGAAGGGTATGCTTAGCAACTTTTTATCAATCGTCAACACCTATGGACATATACCCAATGGTGGCCGAGTGTACTATGCCATGAGATCACAACCACCCATGTTAGTACCAATGATGTCGAGCTATATTGAGGCGACCAATGATACTGCGTTCCTTCGAGATAACATCGACATACTCGAGCGCGAGTTTGACTATTGGATGAGAAATCACACAGTGGACATCGAAAAAGACGGCAAAGTGTACACTTTGGCCAGATACAAGGATTCTTCGGTTGGTCCAAGGCCAGAATCGTACAGGTAAGACAAATGATATTTCAATTAAATACATAATTTTGTTTTATATAATTAATAGCTGTATTAGTTTTTAGATGTATTAAAATAGTTTTCATTCTTTCTCAACGTGGGATAAAATTTCACGAATTTTTTTCGATTATCATCTTAACGTTATAAGAAATATAATATACTAATTAATGACAAATCACAAAATTAACTATTGTGATTCAATTAAATAATCTTTTATCTATCAATTTTAGTTAAAATCTGGATTAAATTTTACCAAAATGTATATTTTTATCAGTTTTTATGTTAAGTTTATTTTTAGGGAAGATATTCAGAGTGCTCAAATATTTAAATCTGACGTCGATAAAGAAAATCACTACTCCGAATTAAAAGCTGCTGCTGAATCTGGATGGGATTTTTCTAGTCGGTGGTTTATACTGAATGGAACTAATAAAGGTAAGTTTAATCCTTTCGACGGTTCGTAATGAATAATGTATAAAATATATGCAATGATGAAGCACACGTGTGTTTTGCTCTAATAAAATTTGACCACTCCATAATTACTTAATTGTCGCAAGTGCGTTTAGAAAAAATAGTGCAATAATCTCAGTACTTTGTACGAATTATAAATGCGTCGTGAGCAATTATTGTTTAGTAATGTCGGAACATAGTTTTTTTTAACCATTTCGTTTCAATAACCAAGGCCACAATCATGTTTGAGTTTTATTCAATTTTTTACTTTTTTTTTTTTTTTTATTAATTCATGAGTAATCCAACTGAAATAATTTATACGACCATGGCGACAAAATGATTGATTTTTGTTAAAGGTCTTTAAAGGTGATGGTTAAAATACAAGAGCCGTGATACATTTAAAACTTATATTAATTGTAATTAATATAATGTGTAGTGTTATTGGTGTACAAATATCCACTGGAGAATTGTACAATAGTTTTGCCCTGTGGATTCAATACACTACAAGTTGATTACGATTTGCTGGTTGATAACCGGAAACACTGAAATAACAATGACTACTATTATTTTTTGCTAGGGAAGCCCATTATTTATGATGAATTATAAAAATAATATTATTTTAAAATAATTTACAAATGAGTAACATTCTGTTATAGTTAAAACAAAAATTATGTTAAAAAGTTACTAACTCTAATAATTTGTTAATAAAATATCATAATTCGATGGAAATGAAGAGAATTTTGTCAGTTAAATTTAAGTTAGTAACTATTGTTCGTTCTAATCAACAACTACTAATTAATTTCTAAAATATGTAATAATTACTCATTTATATACGAAGGAAATAGATTAATTTAGCAATTCATTATTTTTTATGAATTTTTAAAAACAATTGCACCGAGTTTATTTTATAAATCAATAGATTATCTGATGCTCAATGGTGTGCAATTAAAATTTCCTCTGGTTTGTTTTTTGTAGAAATCATTAATATATTTTTATTTTATCATAAATGAACAATTTTGTCACTCTAGATATACTTATTATTTTATTTCGTTAACCTTTTTTAAAAGATTTAACCTTTTAAATTAACTGTAGCTTGGCTGAAAAACAACATGAATCACGATAACATTGTATATATATTCCCTGACGATCGGTCTGGGAATTTCAATTTACAATCCTTCGTGTTACTTTTCAAGGTAGCTTAATAATTGTTTGAATTAAAAATTCGTTGACAACTGCTAATGAAAAAAATGGTAATAAAACGCTATTTAACTCACTTACAAGGTTTAAGTTATCGAGCGGAGAGTTCAAGATTATTTTAAGAAGTCTCGGCCGTCCAATCCAGAAATCCATTTGTTTTATTATTCATCATTATCATTATCCATTATCTCTTGAATAAATAGACATCTTTTGTTTTTAATCTGAAATTGAAGTCCGTTTGATGAAATAAAAAAAATTCACTGCGACCTAAACAATTTCTACGACCTTGAGGCAAGACCTCGGCGTGTGCGCTCAATTGAACCTCTCATTAAATTGCAGCCGGATAATTACAACGAAATTCTTTCAACTGCAATAGCAGATCGGTTTTGAACAAAAATCATTTTACTCTTGCGAACACAGAAACGTAATTATAATTTATTTATTTAGCATTACTCTCATTTTTTTTTTTTTGACGTATATTTTGCTTGTACAATGCTGAAGAATTTGTCTGAATAATTTTTGATTGCCTACAAGTTTATGGTCGAAGATTATTTGAAGAACAAAATAATTACAATAATTAGGAGTTTTCTTAGTGAGATAAAGTTACATAGTATTTTCACTATTCCATTACTTCTAATATAGTAATTTTGTTCATATTTTGTATATATATAATAAAAAAAAAACTTCTGCATCAGTGATGAACAAATTTGTGATTTTATAATTGTGTCTAGTTTTATTGTATTTCAATGAAAAAATAATAATCCAGTTTGTTTTAATATAATTACTGATTTTAATAATAATTCTAAAAAACATCTGTTTTACATTTTACTGTTGCGTAATTTTATGTTAATGCAAATCATTATTTTAATTTCCAAATTTACTTTTATGGGGCCTTTTATAAACTTTCAAAAGCATTAATCATTGCAGAGCTAGATTAAGACCTATATAAGGTTAATACCTTAGTCCTTCTGTAAAAAATACCACAAAAAATTGATTAGCAAAAAAAATATCCGGCAAAACTATGTGTCACTAATCATGAAAGGTCCTCGGAGCGTTTGCCCCCTTTGATCTGTACCTTTGATCTATTTTCTTTGCATATTTTATCTATTACTATTTTTAGAAAATTACTTCACAAGAGTAAATATTTTTCTAATCATTATCGAATAATATTAATAATCATTTAATACTTGATAATATTATGACTAGTGTTAATCTTAAATTCAAATACAAGCAAAAGATCACGAATACTTTATTTATATTTAATTTATATTTAATTTATATTCTTACATTTTGTTTAAATTATATATGAATTAATAAACTCTCATTAGTTGCGTCCATTAATATATTTTTTATGAGAGATTTGTGCTCTAAAATATTTAAAAATTACTTTAGATAATTTTTAATTACTTTCTTTCCTAATAATTATCTGCTAATTTTGACTTTGATTTTATTTACTAAATAAAAGCAAATTTTGAATATATATATATATATAATAAAGAAATATAATCGTGATTGAATTAACTAAAAAAAAATATATAATTCAATTAATTTACTTACTAATTATGGTTCATAATGCACAATAAATATTACTAGACAGAGTGAACTAACCACTCTTACAACTTTTAATACAATTAAAATTTTGTAGTCGTTTATTTATTTTTTTAATTTTTGCATTATTATATTACATTTAAAGTATATTCTTTAATAATGATAAATAATTAAAAAGTTGTTTTTTTTTTTTAATTTTAAAAATTTTGAAATAGCCTTGTTTTAGTAGAGATTTTTTATAAAAAATTTTGATGTTTCTATAATGATTTTGGGATACGCACTTATTGAATTACAGTATTTCAATAGATAGTGTGGATATGTAGCACAGGTGGATTATGCTTTATGAATATAAACCCAACCAGTACGATCTGTACACCCACCTACCAGCGCTACACTCTTGAAATGCATATAACTCAAGAAGTACTTACCATTCAGTTATTATGGACACAACAAAATATTTCGTAAGAGAAGCTCTGAAAAAGCTTTTTCAAAATTAATAATAAAATGTTTTTAATAATGCCTGTAAAATGCAAAATATGACAGCAAAATTTTAATAGTGTCAAAAATTATTGACAGTTAGATCTGATTCACTGTGTACTATTAAAGCTAATTTTGTATATTGTTGAAATTATTTCTTTGTTCAAATTCAATTTCTATGTACAACTTGTTTATTATTTTCAGGAAATTTAACAAATTTGAAGACTCGTTATATTATTCCAGTAGAACTCAATGCACTAATTTATTGGAATGCAAAAATACTTAGCGATTTTTATCGTGATTTGAATGTGCCCGAAAAGGTTCTGAAATATGAGAACATTGGATATAAGTGGATCGAGGCAGTGACGGCGATTCTGTGGCACGAGGAGGTCGGAGCCTGGTTGGACTACGATATGCTAAATGAAATAAAACGCGATTACTTCTACCCGACTAATATTTCGCCGTTATGGACTGGTTGCTATGATTCGAAGAAAACAGAATATTTTGTGTCGAGATCATTGAAGTACCTGGAGAAAACTCAGATTATGAACAATCTCGGTGGGATACCGACGACGTTGGAACATTCTGGAGAGCAATGGGATTACCCAAATGCATGGCCACCTCTTCAGTACATAATGGTTATGTCTCTGGACGCTTCTGGGGATAGTTGGGCTCAAGATTTGGCGTTCGAGATCGCTGAAAGATGGGTTCGTTCTAATTTCAAAGCGTTCAACGAGACTCGCTATATGTTTGAAAAAGTAATAATACAATTTCACCGTGTTGATACTTTTACATTATTATTTTACCCTAAAGTTTTTACTTTTTTTTTAGTGTATATTTATTTTATTCGCAATTGTTTAAAATGTCATATAGTCTTATGCAATTTACAAATTCACTCGCGTCATCTAATTGTTCACTATCTATCTTTCCGCAGTACGATGCTACCGTTCCAGGGGGTCATGGAAGCGGAGGAGAGTATGAAGTTCAATTGGGTTTCGGTTGGACAAACGGTATAATTATGGAGTTTCTGCACAAATACGGATCGCGAATTACAGCTGAAGACAAGTTCACAGAAGCATCGCAAATTAGAGCTAGTGCAATCGAAAGCAGTAGCAGTTTTAATTCAAAAAGTGTTTCATCAGTAACGCAAGTTATGACTGTAATGCTTGCGATACTGGCGACGATATCAGCCGGATGCATAGGGTGAGGTGAGTATCTTTCTTTACTAAATGTATTGAAATAAAAACTGTTTGTCTTCACAGTATTTTCAAAAAAGATAATTTCACATAGATTTCTAAATGAAATTTAATGTCTCTATATATATATATTGTTTTCGTGGTGGGATGATTTTTTTTAATAATGAAACTATTTAATCAGCCAATTATAGAATATATTTTTCTGATTTAGACCGATTATTTCTTATGAGCTATGTCAACTTGATTAACATTTTATTATCACTTGATAATTTTTAATCTGTATTGATAAAGAAAGCCATTAAATTGCCTATTTTACTGTATCACATTGACTCGTAAAAAAAAAATACATGATTGTCCATTTTTCATTGACACTCTTGCGGCTTATTATTCCATATATTCTATTTATAAGTTATAAGTAGTTATTAATATTTTTAAATGTCTAAACTCAAAGTAAAATATAAAATATAATTTTATTTTCTTGCTCTTGTGTAATTGTAAGTAATGACACTAGTGCATATTTTTTACAATTATCAGTCTAATTATATTTATTTTTACCTATGTCATTTACTTCTCAATACTTTTTTCGCTCGTGTCATTTATAATAACTTTAAAATTGTTTTTAGATATTCATAAAACTATCAAATTGATAGTTTTATGCCTCGCGTATGTGTTTATACGACAAATATAATTTATTTACTTTCATTATGCATACCAAAAACACTTAAAAGCGCTTTTATTTTAATTGCAATATTGCAATAGATTTTCAATATTTTCTATCTCTTAAAAAAATCAAAAATACGGGTAGGATATTTTTGAAATTCTTAATCTGATTAAAAATTTTCTCTATAATAAAATTACATTTATTAGAATTAAAATTAAAACTTAATTTAATTATTCCTATTTAAGTTAAAACTAAAATGGTAAAACCTTATATAATTAAATCATTGTACATTTTAAAAAAAGTATATACTCTATAATATATATTGAAAATGTATGTAATAATTATTTTTTATTTGTTTCAGATGTTTTACAAAAGTAGATTATGTAGTTAATTTATAAGAACAATTCCCTCGTGTAAACTGGAAGGATCTCTTGAAATAATTATCAGGTCAGACGTATTTAACAGAGGTTTACATAGCTGAACATTTCTTTTTTTTGTGCTATCACATTTTAGTTTATTTATTGTTTTTTGTTTTGTACATGTGACATGTAGTTGTTGTTTATTTTTTTTGCTTTTTTAGAAATGCAACTTTTTTTGTGTAATCTTTATGACCTTTTAGTATATATCTACTTACATTAATTTACATACTATTTTATTCGAAGATAGACATTTTTGACGTTAGATCTAAATTTACTATACCAAAATATATTTGTGTGTGCATATGTGTGTGTGAGAGTGTGTGCTTATCACCGTTGTATAATATAATATACATATATATTCATGTATTATATTATGTTAACTATTTTAATGGAGTTTAAGTTCCTTCGAGCAATTGTGTTGCTGTGAGTTCAACCAAAATTGTTGCCAGTTATGCATTATTTGCTTGATATTTTTAATTGGAAACATAAAACAAAGTGATGTAATATGTGTTAAGTTTATAAATTAGAGTTAGTTTGCACGTTTTAGTGAGATTCGAAATGACAAACGTTTTCGTTAAGTTTGTTTTAATTCAAATGGGTAACAAAATGTATACATGTCTTTCGTATAATCTGTCCGTGATAAAACGCTTCAAATTTTGTAATTTAATTACACACGTAAATATTTTGATTTCTCGTAAATTGTAATCTTATGAAAAAATTCGTTTTACATCTGTTTTCCTAGTATTTTTTACGGTAATTTACTGTTAATTAATTTATTTTATTATTATATTACTTTAAATTTTGTATAAACAATTAACGTAGGTATAATATTATTGTATAGTAGTTAATAAATTACCTATTGTGATTATAAATTATCGTTAAAATATATCAATGAAGCCTAATTATTGTAATAATAATAAAATAGTATAAAGTGGTTATAATAAATAAGATATTTTTGAAATTTGAATTCAGTTTAACTATAAAAGTTCAATATTTTCTTCTGCAATGTCAAATTCGATTTAATTGTCAAACAACTAAAGATACAAATCTAGTTATTTTTTGACAACTATGTATTTTACTCGTTGAACTATGCCTAAGCTGTTTGTTTTTCTATTAATTTATTATCTAGGCTGTACAAATCGAGATGGTTAGCTCAATTTTCGACTTGTTATTTATTATTTATTTTTCGACTCATGTTATTCTCTCGAAATACATGTGTATTGTTCCCGGTAGTTCCTAAGGTAGAATCCTAGTTTCCATATATCACGTCTTGGTATGTTGGGACACTTAAAATTAATCTTTGAGTTTCGATTAATGATATTTTCTTTATTTCTGCAATTGCTAAAATATCTAGTCAATCGTATCAGTCATCGATCACTGTATTATGATTTGTACCAGCGGGATGTAAGTAAATGAAATATGTCAATAGTAAATGTGTTAGAAATCATGCAAATAATTGGAGAGATTATTTTTATCGATATATTTAAGGGAAAATAAAATAATAGTATACTTTTTTTAATCAAGAACAAGTACCTACGCTGTTGAACATGCACTCAATTGATGTTATATATATTTTCATCAATTCAATTTAAAATGGTAAATTTAGCGATTAATAAAAAATATTTACTAATGACACATAAATGCAGGTTTTAATATTTGATTACATAAATTTAGTATCGCAAATTAACAATTTATTTCATTATTATTATTTAAATCCCGTCTATATTGTATAACNAGTTTTGAATATTTGATTACATAAATTTAGTATCGCAAATTAACAATTTATTTCATTATTATTATTTAAATCCCGTCTATATTGTATAACAATGTAATATAACCATGTGTTACCATAATTAACATCTTCATGGATCGTTTTTTATTTTAATAAAATTTATTGGAATTAACTGTTACATTTCTTGTACCAACTTTGTACCTGCTTGCTATGTTACCAAGATTTATTTATTAGTTTCAAAATATTATTAACATAATAGTTTTTTCAAAGGAAAATAAAATTGTCCTTTTTAAAGAAATTTCAAAGTAGTACTGTTATCTTAACTTACTATAATGATATCCTTTAACGAAACAAATAATGTTCATAGTAATAACTATAGATGTATGTACATTATATGGTACAATATAAATGATCAATTTTTACACCCGCATATCAAAATTATTTTATATAATATGTCTATACTTATGAATGATGTTATTTATATTTTTTGGAATCATAGAATATTATTTAAATAACCCATTATATTATTATTATTAATTACATTATTTAGGTTTAAATTTTGAATATTATTGTTTTTTTATTTCTGTTTTAATTATCTTTCTTTAATATTAATATTTTGCTATTATCATTATTCATTATGCATGTAGTTTAGTAGATTATTATATTTAGAAAATTTAAATTCTGTTTATTTATCGATATTGTACAAAAGCTGACTTTTTAGTTAATTTATTCGATTTAATTAAAACCGATTTAATAGCTTGTCACATTTTATTATTAATATACAAAAACTATCAATAAACTCTTTGATAATATAATATTATTGAGTATTTTGTTTAATTTGTTTAATATTTAAAATATATTACTACTGCTTACCCAATAAAAGTTTTTGACTGTTTCTGTTACTAATTACTCTAACTAAAATTTACCATTAGTAAAAATATCAAAAAATATTTATTTGATTTAATTTAATTATTGTAAATACTATTAGGATGAATTAGAATGTTTTCTTTATTATATAGTTATAATATTATTATAAATTATAAAATGATGATTTGAAATAATAAACATAAAAATAATTTAACTTATTTAGTTATTAGATTTTTATATAGCATTTTAGTTGAAATCAGTTCAACTCAAAAAACTCTTTATAATAATCTGCAAAGTATTTTAATATTCTCATATACCATACTCATAAACTTGCACTGGATAAAAATTTTACAATACTCTATTATAAATGTCATTTTTTTCTTCTATAGTATATTCAATTTTTGTAATATTAATGGACACTTATTATTTTAATACTTATAATTAGGCATAATACGAATGGTTAACACCGTCAACTTTGGTCATCCCTACCGCAAAAATTACAAATTATGATTTTTATGAAATGAACAATCGTTCCTAAATACATATTAATTCTCGCGTTCGTCTATGAATATAAGTAACACTTTATTTAGTACAGATGTTGCAAAGAATGTAACACTTACAATTTTTTTTTTTAATATGCTGTGTGTTGGTATTTATGTTAGTTTGTTTTTTCGCATGCTTTTAGTAGTACTTGAAGACCAATTTATAACTCTCAACTAATCTGAGCTTCTTAAATCATCGCAGTTTAGCATCGAGATAGCAGGTAATTTTATAATTTTTTTAATCATCAATATTTTACAGTTTCATATAATGGTTAATACTTAAATTTATTAAACAAATTATTAATTTAAGGATATTTTTTAAAAATTAATAGATTTATAAATTAATAAATTGCTAGTATTAAAAAATTATAAAATCATATCATTACTTGATGAATAATAGTTAATTATAATTAATATTTTTAATTATAATTTTAGATTTGCTGTTTATAAAAAGCGACAAATATGCAGCAACAATTGTGCTCAATACAAAAAACTATGCAGTGGTTATACGGAATTAAGAGATTTGACAAGTGACTGAATTACTCAGTTATTGGACTTATATTTGTTAACCACTATATTTAATGTTCCACATGACATTGCAACCTAAAGTCTAGGTATTTATTACTTGAATAAATTAAGGATTTGACTGTTCTACATGAAACGACAATGTTATTTGAGCTAGTCTAAATATTTTACATTATTATACATAAAATTATTTTTTGACTGTTATGCTTTAGGTTGAACGCCATGGTGTGTTATGAATATAAATATCAAAATTCATAAAAACTAAAAATTACTCCCAAGAAATATCTTTTAATATATATTATATATAAACAGCTTCTTTGTATACATATAGATATATATGGGAAATACACTAAAAAAAGAAAATTTTGGCTTCATTATACTTATTTATTCTTGTATGTAGTATACTACTATATAACTCTTAAATACTATTTTTTTATCTAATGTGATCGTGTTTAAAAACTCTTACTTGAAGTTTTTTTTATATTTTAGATGTTTAGGAGTGATGTATAAATAATTAATTAGTGTTCCAAATCCCTTCTTCCTATTAACCTTGGATAAATTATATTTTAGAGATTTTTATAATTATGCTACTATTTTTTTGTTTCCTAGTTTTATGTAAGACTTATATACAACTAGTGGACAAAAAAATATCATTAAAAAAAAATACTTTTACTCAAAATTTAAGAAAAAAGTATTAAAATACGAAAATATTAGTGAAATATTAGAAAATTAAAATATTTATTAAATAGACTGTTAATAAATTCTTCTAGCTAGGTTATAATGAATAATTGTAAAGTTATTTAATATAGACAGTTAAATTATTTTTTAAATTAAAATGTTATGTTTTAGTTAAATAAAACATTTTCTAGCTAATATAAGTTTCATAAAACTGAATTGAAATAATTCTGTTTAAATATGTGCAATTTCAATTTTTAATTAAACAATTTTAATTTTACTATTTAGTTTATAAAAACAGAAATTTCATCTATGAAATAGTAAATTTAACTAAAAATAAATATTAACAATGAGAGTATGAAATACATACACGCCAAAAATAATAACTAAAATATATATATATATATTATTAACAATATTTCATGATGATAACTTTTGGCTATTTAAGACGTGTATAGTAAATTATCATATTAAATTGGTATATTGTATGTTTATTTTAATAACAGTTTTCTTCTACTTGAAATTATCATTCCTTTATTTATGTTATGTGAATCATTTTTAAAACCGTAGTTAGTATATTTTTAATCTATTTGAAAACATATTTTTCAAAAAAAAAATTATTAGAATACCATATTAAATTTACTAAATTATTTATTGTATACATGTAAAGTGATACATTTAGCAAATTATTACATTAGAAAGTTATGTCATTATATTTTATTTATTTTTTAAATAAAATAAAGCTTTTGTTAAAATGTGGTAGTTTTTCAAAAATGACATTCTCTTATATATTTATTATGTAAAGCGTTCAAAAGATAACTGGATATTGTTTTTTTATAAAAAATAAAAACTATTTTTCATACTTTTTGAACTCTAAAAATTTATATGTACCTGAAAGTTCAGAGTTCATTTAAAAAAGAAAACAATGATTAATTTTTAACATTTGAAATATAATTGCATTTCTTATTAACCATTTTCGATCCTCCTTATGACAAGTTATTTTTCTTGAACAGAATATATTTTTTATTTACTTAAGGTTAACTTTCATCTTAATAATGAATGATTTTTGGAATAAAAAAAAAAATTTATTTAGTGTCTCACATAAGCTATTAAATTTTGATGTTATTACAGGAGAATTAATAAATCACTTTTAGTCGCTTATTAATAATATTGTTAACATTTTTACCTTAAAAATAAAAATATGAACTTTATTTTGAGAAATCTTTGTTTTTAATATTGACATTTAGTAAACCTGAATTTGATTTTTGATTACTAAAAAATTCTATATAAAACTATATTTAAATTAGTGATGGGAAATTTCGAATATTAAAAATATATGATAGTTACTCAATATATTCGAATAGTTTTAAAAACTATTCGATAGTTTTTTTTTAAATTTGATACTTTATGCTAAAAATAAACTATTCGGTTGTGTAAATACAATTCGAATAGTTATTTGATAGTTTTAAAAAACTATCAAATACTATTCAATAGTTTAAAATATTCAAAAATGCCCATCACCGATTTAAATATGTCTGTGTAGGATCAGATAAAATTTTTACATTTTATTAACTGAAATTAGTTTTTTTCGAAGAATTGATTGTTACAATGATAAAACTCAACAATGTTAGAAGTTATAACTTTAGTTAAAGTATCTCTAAAGTTCTGTTTTAAAAACAAAAATAATAAGATAAAATTGTTTGAAATTAATTTTTTCTTTTTGGTTGATCCTATAACAATGATATAATAGTGCCATTTTAATATAAATTTTCTTTTAAAGGGCTTAGTACCCTCTTATAAAAACAAATAAAAATAAAACTAAACAGTTAAAAAATCTTACTGGCTTAAAGTAGATATAAAATTAATAAATTATGCTAATTTTTTTTTTTTTGGTTTAAAATTATGTGTATTACAGTTCAATTGATTTGTATTTCATAATTTCTTATATACATTTTTTAATATTTATTATTTAATTAAAAATAAATAAGGTTTTAAATTTTCATATATTCACTATTGGTAAGATAAATTTTATATAAAAAAAAACATGTTTTAGTTATTTTTCATTGCGTCAAGGTATATTTCAGTATTTTCACTAATACTAATGATAAATTTTTTTCTTTCATTCTTTCAATATTTTCATGAATTATTTTTTGAAATTAATAAAGTTTTACATTGTAGTCTATTAGGATGGTAAACATTTACCCATAAGAAAATTTTTCAACATGATCTCTTACCCATTGTAACATTAAAATTAAGTACAATTATTATGAGTTCCAAAATTAGCTTTAGATATTAGTCAAAATATAGTCGCAGTGTTCTCGAGTTATTAAACAATTTGGTTTTATCTAAATGTATAAATGCATAGTGCTGTTACATATTAGCTTTAAAATACAGGAATAATGAATTGAGCTTGTATTATTGTGTAGCAGTTATTACATAAATGTCTTCTTTAATTGCCAAATGGCCACTATATTTATAAGCTTGTATTACGATCAAATTTTGAACAAGATAACAAATATTCTAACGATAGCACCAATTATTTATAATATGTATAAATAATTTTATAATACATATAAAAATTCTATCAAATCAATAAGGTAGAGCTGACCCCAAATTAGTGAAAAAAAGGCTATAGATGGTGATGATAATATGTAAATAGTTTAGTGAAAACTCAATTATTATAAATAAAATGTACATAGTAAATTTTTCAGTACTTAGAAAATAGTAAATACTAGTTTTAACACTAGGCCATCAGCAATTTCATTAAAAATGAATAATATAAAACAGAATGAACAGATAAAAAAAAAAAATATAAAGACTATAAATAATATAAATAATATATACATATCATGTATACATTTCAAAGATTTATTATCATTAAACATTTCATTGAAATATGTGTAATTACTTTTCTTACTTATTTTATAAATAAGCCATTAATATGTGTTTTTTTAATATGTTGTGATTTAAGCTCTCTAATTAAAGAAGCTTACAATTAAATAATATGTTTAAATCAGATATTTCATATTAAGTCACTAAAAAATGTCTTGATTTTACAAGCGGAATTTTATAAAATTTGCTAAAAAATTAATTTTCTAGAGAATTATTTTAGATAAAAATTAAATTTTAAAACATCAAATAAAAAATCAAAATATATACATTTTTTAATAATTAGACAATGTCTTTTGATAACTTACATTATTTTTTTTATTAATAAAAGGAGCAAATATTTATTATATTCATTAAGGTTCGTCAACGATATTGATTTTTCCAAAAATATTGATTATTTTTGAAACATCGCAATATTTGAAAAAAATATTTTAATAAAAAAAACTGTTAGAATTTTGGTCACTTTACTATAAATCATATGTTATTTGATATTAAAACAAAAACAATTAATCTTATAATCTTATTAATATTTTTTTGTATTAAAATATATTATGAAATGTAAAATTGAGATTAGGCGAAAAATAATATTAATTGATACAAAATTCTATACTTAGATTAGGTTTTTTATGACATGTTGTTATTCCTAATTTTAACAAGACACGAACAAAGTAATATATGAGAACAATTAAAGAAAGAAATTTTTAAATTAGAATTTATATAGCAAAAACTGGTTAAAAGTCAATCTGAAAAATAAAATATTATTGAACCTCACCAAAAAAAATCCCTATAAGATGATAGTGATGTTTTATTCTGTAAGAATTTTATTTTTGAAAAGAAGAAAAATTGTTTTCAGTTATGACAAAGCAATAAAAAAATATAAACAGCATTTATACTCTTTTTTATAATTATTATTTGAAACCAAAACACTGAATCTATAATACTATTATTTAATTAAGAACAATTCCATCTATTTAATATAACCAACATGTCTTGTAATAAAAAAAAACTTATTTCTAACAATAAAAAGTAATTTGAAAATATTTGATTATCGTTATGAGATAAAGCTATTATTTATATTAATATTATCTGATTTGGGTGATATACCATAAACTGATTTTTACAACAATGGTAACTGAACAGTATTCTTGAAAATAAAAAAAATGGTTAAAACTTTTAATCATTGTTTAAACATTAAGTATAATTTTTTTTTCCAATATACAAAAATATATTGTTGACAAACCCTAATATTTATTAAATTTCTATAGCTGTACACATTTCACATGTTTTGTTAAATATGAGCTACTACTTTTCTGTAAAAAGGTCCAAAATCTAAGTTAAGTGTAACCATGAAATACATCAAATACGTTAAACGCTTAATTTAAACTGTTTCTGTTTTTAAAATTAGTAATATAAATTTAATAAAAAACATGTTTCTTTAGAATAGTTATTATTAATTCCTAAAAAATATTAAAAACTGTATATGTACTGTATTCTGGTATACTCAATAAAATGCAGGTGACAACTGCCCCTTTTGAAAGTTGTAAAACTTTGTATTTTCTACATAACTTGTTCATCATTCTACTTCTTATTATTTTAAATTACTTCTTTATTTATGTTTATTTATTCTGTTTATTAGAATTAGATTTTAGTTAATTATGTTTGTCACAATTCGCAAAACTGAGATTAGGACAGGCGCTATCTAGCGTCACTCTTATCAACTAGTTTTGACTTAGTCTTGATTTCCGCTAGGTAGCGGCGGCTATACATAAACTATTTTGTTAAAATTGATAGTTATCAACATTATTATCTTGTTGATAATAATTAATTCGTTTTAACTTGTGTGCTTAATAAACCAATACTTTAAAGTAAATACAACTTAAAATAAGTTTTATTTATTATACTTATTATAAACAACAATTAAATTATGTTTCAGCACAAAAATTATAACAAAAACAATCAAACATATTTTATGTATTATTGTCTTCAATTATATCACGTATCTTCATTGTGGTTCATAATTTAAAATGTGTAATTGAATAACAATAATTAAGAAATAACATTATAAAAAAAAATATATACATTTATATGTATATATTTATAAATATTATGTTGTATGATAAATGCAACAATTTATAAAATATTAATTTACTCTAGTAAAATGGATAACTATTTAAGAAAATAAATTAGAAATCGGCATTTAAAAATAAAATATTGTAAGAAAATGATATCTAATAAACATTTATGAAAAAAAACTAATCATTTGATTCAACACTTTTATCAGAAATTTAAAAATAGAATTTTTTTTTTTTTTAGAAAAACAATAAATATACAAAGATTATTAAGAAGAAAATAACAAATCAGTCTACAACGTAGGTACTTTTTTCCATGATGGCACAAACATTAAAATAATGGTAACATTGTTTTTAATAAAAATACATATTGATAAACTTCATTTCAAGTAATTAATAATATTTCGATTGAGCTCATTAAATAACCATTTGCCAAAGTTCTCTAATTTGCTGAAAATAAATACATACAAATGATGACACTAATTTTTTTCATACATTTCTTTCCTAAGAAAATACCCTTTAACTGCCGATTTATCACAAATAAACTATATTACATTTTGTTTTTAGTCAATAATGTCCTTAATGTAAGTCAATAAAAAGTTCAATACAAATAATATACAATAATTTATATTGTTGGTCGTCATAAAAATAAATGAGTAACTTACATACAAAAGCTACAAAATATACTCTTTACAGCCTGAGTAAAAGATATATGAGCCCAATTATCAGTCTCTTCAGTAATATCAAAAGTTGATGTAGGAAATGTCCCTTCAGTGATAAATATTTCCAAATCTGATTTTGGTATATCATCTCTTGAATGGTTCTATAAATTTTAATTTAAAATTTTTTACAAAATCAATAGAATTTAGACTAACAGTTCTTACCTTTATGGTTTCATATGAATCAATTATAACGGATAGGAACAAGTTGATAATTACATAGATAAACAGACTGATAAAAGAATACAAATACAAACGACTAAACCACCAAAGCAAAGTTGACTTGGTTGCCATAATAGTAAAGGTTGCATACATATCATCTCCATTAATCAGCGAAAACAGGCATTCTGAAGTGCTTGCTAATGAACGAAACTAAAAATAAAAATATGTCAATACATTTTTTTAATTAATACTTTTTAAATAATTAAATAATTTTTTTTAAGGTTTTAATACAATACTGTCAAAAGGGCCAACTTAGATTGTTAAATATTTTACACATTTCAATGATTAATTTTAATCAAAAAATATTTTGTGTTTTTAACACAAAATGTTCACTAAAGATATAAATTAAAACGGCTTTCATGATAATAGATATTTAACAGCCTCAAGTTTAACTACTGCCCCAAGTTGGCCTATTTGACAGTATTATTAAATAATTATGATTGAAAGTTTAACATGACAATGCAATCTGTATTGTTAACTACAAGAATTACAAGAATTTTAATACAATAAATATAGCTTGTACTAGTGTATAAATTATTCATAATGCACCCGCGTTACATATTCACTCAATGTATTAAAATTCCTGTAAATCAATAATTATATAGTTTCTAGAAAGTTTCTTATTCCTAAGCGACTTATACATATAAAAATATAAATTAATGATTGATCAATTATTAAACAAGAAAAACAGCTAAGAGTATGAAATTAATTCTTTATATTACATCAATGGAGTTTATTTAAGATATTAAAATAATTAATTGGGGACGTAATTGATGATAAATAATTAAATAGAATAATTATACTATAAAGTTGATATATTTAGAAGTAAATAAGAAAAGTTACAGATAATTTAATCATGGTGTTTAGGGTAAAAAAGTGAGTGATTGAGACATATTGTAATCATGAAAATATAATTGATTATGACCAAATTTGAGACTGTAAAAAGAATTTATATGAAATCAAAAAAGTGGTTGATTTAAGAACCAAGAATGATTTGGTATAGCATAGGAAATTGATTTAAATCAAGTTGTATTTCAATATATGGTAGAAAACCACTTCCTATCTTGTCATACTTTATTTATTTGTTATTTACTGTGATCAGATTTTTATATTAGGAGAATTAACATATTTAACATTCAAACTTATGATGGGGGTGGAATGAACCACATCAAAAATTGTGTAAAAATAAGGACTTAGTATTTTTTAAGGTAAAAGTAGAAAATCATAAGAAGGATCCATAGTTGACTTTTAGACAAATTAGAGATTTAAAGATATAAAAATCCTACCAAATGCCAGAAATTGAAAGAAGATAAGACCAATATGTTAAAAAAGAACTAAGATAATCAAAGTGTGGCATCTGTCAAAGTTTATTGTCAAGCTTCAGTTTAAGGTAAGCAACACAGTAAAAATGGTTTAAATTAATACTGTAAGGGAAATAATACTCTCTAGATAATTTACTTGTGAAAACAATAATCTTAATTTTTTTTAAAGCAGATTCAAAAAAACTCATTGGAGGAATAATTAATAGTTTAAAGGTATTATAAATGTTAGAGACAGCTTTATAAAGATTTATTTAAAAAAAATATTATATTATTGATATAAAATAATCTGGAAATGATTATTTTATATCAATAGAGTAAATGTAAAACAAAACTGGACTAAGTTAGTGAATTTGGGAACATCACTGAAGGTCGCAAAACGACTGGTGGACAAAAGGAGAATTGCAATGAAGTTGTTAACAGTTAAATAGAGAAAAACATTTTTTAATGAAAAAATACAAGGATATTGAGAGGGAAAGAAACTGGAAAATATGTAAACATAAATTAACGAAACTATATAGAGTAGTTTGTTTATCATAAATCATTCGAATACTCGCAATATAAATATAATAAAAAAAAATGTTTTAATTTCTTCTAATTACATATATTTCTTGATATATCAGCTAATAATAACTTTTTAGAACCATCCGTTATAACTTAATGACTAATGACTAGTTGATAACAACATTTGAACCAGTATTTCAGATGTTATTAACAATTCAAAGTAATGATTGTAGATGAGGAGTGAATGCTGCTATTTTTGTCACTAGTCATTTTCTGGTCAAACTCTTCCATCCAGTTATGAAAATGAAAATAATTTCCAAATTACTGGTCCAAAGTGACCAGTCATTTTCTTAATTAGATTATTTTTTATTTTATAAGCTAGTTAAATATATATGTTATCATTAAAAAAATTAAAGTTGATACCACTTTAAGTTATAATGGATTATTCTAAAAGGTCATTTATAAGCTGATAAATCAAGCAAATATATGTAATTAAAAGAAATTAAAACATTTTTTTTTATTATTGTATTCATCTTGTAAGTAATCAAGTGGTTTATGATAAATCGATCAACCTGTGTATACTTAGATTGACTACAAGAGCAGCGATTTTAATGTAGGTAGTAAAAAGGGCTAAATAAGGACAATAACAATATATCTTTAGTCCCAAACCTTAACTTAATACTTAGCATTATTTGGAAATAAGAAGTTAGATTCAAGAAACCAATAGAAATACATTTTTAGTAAACCATCAATTAATATGAAAAAGACTGAGGATAAAATAATAGGACAATACGTAGGCGTTAACTCCTGGGAACTCTTCAGGTTAGAAATTACCTTAAAATAATTCTAGAAATATGGATTCATATTATTAAGCTTTAGATAATTGAGGATAATTAAGAGCATTATTTAAAAATTGGAAGTTTATCCACATTTTCCCCACAAAACTTGAGGAGAAAAATTAATATATATTTTTTTTTTCAAAGGACATATTTTTCAATGATTATTTCAACTCTAAATACTCACTTTCATATGATATGGTCCTAAAACCAGCCAACCACAGAATATAAAACCAGCATATAACAACATAGCACATAATAAAAATCTAGATGTATTAGGAAAAGCTTGTCTTAATGTGAGTATAACACCCTATGTATAATAAAGGAAAAAAAAAATATATATAACATAGAAAAATGAAAAAAAGAAAATTATCAATTTCACAAATAATTACATTATATGTCTTGAAAAATGTTAAGTATCTTAAAACTCCAAACCAAACTAATAAATTTCCTGTTCCCAACAGTACACTACATAAATTCCATTGATCGCCAATAAATTGCTGCAATAAAAATATATAAGGGTTATAAATATTTAATCAAACTCAAGAGAATAACAATATTCATACTTTTTTTTCAATTCTTTCTTTTATAGTAGAACCACAAATAATGAGAATGTCATTAATGATGATCATGATATACCATAAATTCCAAAATGCCCATCGCCCACTATAACTTAATGTAGACTTTAACATGTCTTCAAAATACTTAACAGTTTCCTAAAATATAAAATTTTCAACAAACATTATACTTTGATAATTACTTCAAATAATACAGAATAATGCTTACATATTTCAATAACTGAGCACGAAATATTGCTCTACAGCAAAGTATCATAGATATTGTACAAGTAATTATTACAAAATAATTTAATAGACTTCTTAGAAATGACTCCATTTTATTATCAGCTGCAAAACATTTATTTATTTATTATTTATTATCCAGAAAAATACCTTGCTCTAATAACAGTTATGGAAATGAACATAGAAGGAAGAACAAAAAAGAGGTGGTTGGATGCAATTGGTAGGACTACTGATGTATATATAGATGAGATGGAAAATTGTGTCAAGTGGAAGTGTAGGATATGGGTGACCACCTAAATTAATTGGGATAAAGACAGGGAAAAAAAAAAACCCAGCACAGGGGGGTCGCGGCACAGTTGTGACGTGGTATAGTTGGATCAAGTATAATGATATCTGACAGTGATTAAAATCACTATCAAAAATAAACGCTTCGATGCAAATCTTTAGATAGTG